CCCCAAAACCCCAAAACCCCAAAACCCCAATTCAAGACCATGGTGTTGAATTTATATAAAATTGAATCTTGAGGTCCAGATAAGTCAATAGAATTTATCAGATATTCAAGAGTCAATAAAGCAATGGAAAGTATATAACTCTTTGTTCTAGATAACAAGATTTCCCAAAATAAAGGCATAAAGATACCCTTTGATGAGGCTTATTAAAATAATTCTCTGGAGAGCTAGATGTTATTTCTAAATGCCATATTTTATGAGACTAGGTTTAACTGAAGCATCATTCATGAATCCAGTATAATTTTATTTGATGATAGATTCAAATTCTACCTGTCTAAAATATGTCTAAATACTCGAATCAGACAATCTTTAAAGAGAACCAGAAGTGAAAATTTTCATTTTTTTTAAGAAATAAAGCTGAAACTTTTCAGTATAAAGTTAAAATTATTAACATTATATTCCTCACTCTCTTACATTTTAATGATCTCTGAGGATATATGCATGAATAGAGATGCCAGAACTATCATAATAGAGTAAGAATTCATATCTTGAGAACAAACAGAGCTTAATAATTTAGTCTTCGAAATAAGGGTGAAAAGTTTGGCACCGATAAGTAAAATATTAAAAGTCAAAGAATCCCATTATTTAGTAATAACATTTGCTAAAGGCTTATACAGATTTCAGCAATGCTAATAAATACATAAGTTTCTTTAAACCCTGGTTGAAGAAAGATGCTACGCTTGAGGAATAAGACTATGGTTATACTAAATATAGGGTTACTGAATACTATGATGAGGAGTAAGTAAAGTGATTACTTTCTGAGATTTCATAAAAATTTTACTATCCTTCAGTAATGCTCAATTGATTGAAATCAAACATTGTATTGACAACAAGAAATTATGAAAGTGAGAGGTTTAATGATAGAGGCTACAACTACTTAAAGAAAAAATATGGAAGCAGTCTGATCTCTGCATGGAGTATGACTATGGCGAGAGGGAAAGATAAACCTCCTCTTGAGACCGATAATTATTAAAAGAGATAAGTGCTCTTTCTATTAGCTAAGTTAGTTGATTTCAGTTACTTTGAGTAAAATTTTATATAGTTTGAATAAGAATAATTTCGAAGAAAATATAAGATAAAAGTAAAAGCTACTTTGTAGCGGTATACCCAAAGCACATCTATGCTGCTCAACAAGTGATGGGTTGCATTCTTTGATCAAATCTTAAACATGATTTAAGTTTAACATTTTATAGAGAGCGCTATATGAAAGAAGATATCAACTAATTCACTCTAATAAGTTAATGTATTAAGAATTCTTTGTGAATGCCAGAATCTTGTCATTCCTCTTTAATCAGCCAAATTTCAGAACAATTTTCATCCTTTCCGTCTACACAGTGAAGAGAATGAGCATGATGCTCTTGCTTACTCAGTGTAAATATTATGGAGCATTTCTCATGAAATCTTATGACTAATTTTCTCACAAAGAATTGACAAACTTCTTCATGAGGAAGACTAAGAAATATATGCACAAAAAAAATGACCAAGCGATATAGTGTCCCATCCTTTCTAAAGTGGAGTTTTTCGAGATAATTCTTAAGCATTTGAAACCCTAAGATTTTAAGATATTCCAAGCATGTCAGAGGAACTTGTCTCGAAATGTCAAAGAATCCAGGCTCTCAAAGGACCCTGTGATTTGAGATTAAGAAGTTTACCATATTGACTCGATGAAATTATTACAGTAAATTTTAACAAATATCTGACAGTTTTAGCCCAAGAGCAAACAAAGTAAGCTGGCCATGGTTCAAGAGTTTAAAATTTACCAACTCTAGTAAGTACATTGAGGATAGGTGAACACATTTTACAGCACTTGTTAGGACAATGTAATTCCAATTGAGAAAAAGAACTCAAATTTCAAGGAGAGATGGAGAAAGAATTCTAAGAAACATAAAAAGATTGATAATTATCCGTCTTCAGAAGATTTTATTCTCAAGTCTGGTACGAAACGAAGAAAATTAAATAAGTGGAAGAAATTAGTTATGATTACTAAAAATTACAAGAAAAACTAGTGAAGCTTAAAATAAGATAGATTTTGATAAGAATTCGCTCCAAAATTTATCTAAAACTCTTACTAAGATTTTGGTTAAGTATAATCAACCAAAAGCATAACTCCGGAAAACATAGTTTTCACTGCAGTAGGAATGCGGTTTATCAGTGAACTATGCGCTTGTATCTGAAATGTATTTATCAGGTATGTGGAAATAAAATTATTAGATATTAATCATAAGAAAGTTTGTAGCATACTTTTAAACTCGTAAGTTACTATAGGTCATACTACAAATGTAAACAAAATATGAGTGATATACAATATCAACTGAATTTATACTGGGATTAATAAGTTACATGAAATATAATTTCACTTAAAAATAAGTTGGTGAGAATTAATTCACTGGATTGTGGTCACCTCTAACAATCATTTATATGGCTCATTAAAAAGGAAATTATCCTCTAATATTACAATCCTCACCTCCTTCTCTTGTTAAAAAGGCTGTTTCAAGGCCATTACTAAATCTATAATTATGAAATAATAGTTTGTTTTATGAAAGACTGAGTCCTATGCTCTTTAACCGATGACAAAGTTCATAAGAGAGATTAAATCTAAGGCCAACAGCTTTGGTCATAACCATAATATAAAATCCATCTGTAAGATGAGGCAGATAGGGAAACTTTGGTGAAGTATCCTAAAGTAAAGCCAGCCAGTGAGAGATGGTAACATAAAACTGCACTTATTGTCTAATTCAATAAAATCTTTTTCCTTAGGGGTTTTGGGGTTTTGGGGTTTTGGGG